AAGTGTATTCTGTTGTTTTTGGATGGAATGTCCTATAAATATCAGTTAAGTCCATTTTGTTTAATGTGTCATTTAAAGCTTTTGTTTATTTATTTTCATTTTGGATGATCTGTCCATTGGTGAAAGTGGGGTGTTAACGTCCCCTACTGTGATTGTGTTACTTTGAATTTCCCCTTTTATGGCTATTAGCATTTGCCTTATGTATTGAGGTGCTCCTATTTTGGGTGCATAAATATTTACAATTCTAATATCTTCTTCTTGGATTGATCCCTTGATCATTATGTAGTGTCCTGTCTCTTGTAATAGTCTTTATTTTAAAGTCTATTTTGTGTGATACAAGAATTGCTACTCAAGGTTTCTTTTTTTTTTAATTTATTTACTTTTTATTTATTTGTTTTTGGCTCAGTTGGGTCTTTGTTGCTGTGCGCTGGCTTTCTCTAGTTGCGGCGAGCGGGGGCTACTCTTCATTGCGGTGCTCGGGCTTCTCATTGAGGTGGCTTCTCTTGTTGCAGAGCATGGGCTCTAGGCGCATGGGCTTCAGTAGTTGTGGCATGTGGTTCAGTAGTTGTGGCTCTTGGGCTCTAGAATGCAGGCTCAGTAGTTGTGGTGCATGGGCTTAGTTGCTCCACAGCATGTGGGATCTTCCCAGACCAGGGATTGAACCCGTGTCCCCTGCATTGGCAGGTGGATTCTTAACCACTGCACCACTAGGGAAGTCCCTCCGGCTTTCTTTTGATTTCCATTTGCATGGAATCTCTTTTTCCATCCCTTCACTTTCAGTCTGTATGTGTCCCTAGGTCTGAAGTGGGTCTCTTGGAGACAGCATATGTATGGGTTTTGTTTTTGTATCCATTCAGCCAGTCTGTGTCTTTTGGTTGGAGCATTTAATCCATTTACATTTAAGGTAATTATTGATATGTATGTTCCTATTACCATTTCCTTAATTGTTTTGGGTTTGTTATTGTAGGTCTTTTCCTTCTCTTGTGTTTCCTGCCTAGAGAAGTTCCTCTAGCATTTGTTGTAAAGGTGGTTTGGTGGTGCTGAATTCTCTTAACTTTTGCTTATCTGTAAAGGTTTTAATTTCTCCATTGAATCTGAATGAGATCCTTGCTGGGTAGAGTAATCTTGGTTGTAGTTTTTTCCCTTTCATCACTTTAAATATGTCCTGTCACTCCCTCTGGCTTGCAGAGTTTCTGCTGAAAGATCAGCTGTTAACCTTATGGAGATTCCCTTGTATGTTATTTGTTGCTTTTCCCTTGCTGCTTTTAATATTTTTCTTTGTATTTAATTCTTGATAGTTTGATTAATATGTGTCTTGGCATGTTTCTCTTTGTGTTTATCCTGTATGGGCCTCTCTGTACTTCCTGGACTTGACTATTTCCTTTCCCATGTGAGGGAAGTTTTCAACTATAATCTCTTCAAATATTTTCTCAGACCCTTTCTTTTTCTCCTTTTCTTCTGGGACCCCTATAATCGAACGTTGGTGCATTTAATGTTGTCCCAGAGGTCTCTGAGCCTGTCCTCCATTCTCTTCATTCTTTTTTCTTTATTCTGCTCCCTGGCACTTATTTCCACCATTTTATCTTCCAGCTCACTTATCTGTTCTTCTGCCTCAGTTATTCTGTTATTGATTCCTTCTAGAGTATTTTTTTTTTTGCAGTACGCGGGCCTCTCACTGCTGTGGCCTCTCCCGTTGCGGAGCACAGGCTCTGGACGCACAGGCTCAGCGGCCATGGCTCATGGGCCCAGCCGCTCCGCGGCATCTTCCCAGACCGGGGCACGAACCCGTGTCCCCTGCATTGGCAGGTGGACTCTCAACCACTGCGCCACCAGGGAAGCCCCTTCTAGAGTATTTTTAATTTCAGTAATTGTGTTGTTCACCACTGTTTGTTTGCTCTTTAGTTCTTCTAGATCCTTGTTAAATGTTTCTTGTATTTTCTCCATCTGTTTCTGAGATTTTGGATCATCTTTACCATCATTACTCTGAATTCTTTTTCAGGTAGGTTGCCTATTTCATCTTCATTTATTTGGTGTTGTAGGTTTTTACCTTACTTCTTCGTCTGTAACAATTTTTTTGTCGTTTAAGTTTGTTTTTTGATGGGTGCTTCTGTGTTCCTGCCTTATTGGTTGTTTGGCCTGAGACGTCCAGCACTGGAGTTTGCAGGCAATTGGATAGAGCTGGGTCTTGGTGCTGAGATGAGGACCTCTGTGAGGCCTTACTCCAATTGATACTCCCTGGGGTCTGAGGTTCTCTGTTAGTCCAGCAGTTTGGACTCGGAGCTCCCACCACAGGAGCTCAGGCCTGACCTCTGGCCTGGGGACCAAGATCCTGCAAGCATGCGGCAGGCGAAGTAACGGTCACCCAAAAACATGGACATCCAAATCCCTGGAACTGCCTGGCTGGTGCATGGCAATGGGGACCCAGGGCTGCAGGAGGGGCAGGGCAGTGGCCTCAGGTGCACAGGGCAGCCTGGTGTTCTCAGAGTCAGAGCCAGGCCATTTGCACTGCCCGCACTGCCCAGCGTGCCAGGGACTCCACCTGGGCCTGACAGGCCCGGATTCACGTCCAAGGTGGCTTCAGCTATTTTTAACTTATAGCCCATTTGCCAGTTTTCTTATACATATCAGTTAATTTTCAAGGTTCATGTAAGATCTACACTGCATGTGTGGCTGCTCCATCTCTTAAGTCCTTGTCAGTCTATAGATTTTCCTCTCCATCTCTCTTTTACGTCTTTGCAATTTATTTGTTGAAGAAGTGAGGTTCTTTGTCACGTAGAGTTTTCCACTTGGATTTTATTGGTTGCTCCCCTTACAGTAGTGTATAACATGATTTTCTTTCCCCTGCATATCCTATTAATTAGCTTGTCCACCCCCACTTATATTTTGAGGTTCATGAGAATTTCTTGTCACCTGGTTTTCTTATGTTTATTGTGTATGACTTTGGTTTTGGCTCCTATTAATGGGGATAGTCAAAATTGGGGAAGTAGGTTTTTTTTAATGGGAGTATTTCAACATTGCATTTTCTCATACAGTTTTCTTTTGCTGGAAAATTAGAAGTATTAAAATAAGATATAGAGTGAGCTATTTTGCATATTCTACTCTAGATACTTTTGTACCTCAATAAACAAACTGTGGTATATACATACAATGGAATATAATTCATCCATAAAAAGGAATGAAGTTATGATACATGCTACAACATGGATGTACCTTGAAAACATTATGCTAAGTGAAATAAGCCAGACACAGGTTAGCAGGTGCTGGAGTGATACGGAGAATGCAGAGTTGTTGCTTACTGGTTATAGTTTCTCTTTGAGGTAATGAAAAAGTCTTGGAAATTAATAGTAATGATGGTTGCACAACGTCATATGTGTAATTAATACTACTGAATTACACATGTAAAAATGGCAATTATTGTTATATATATTTATAATTTTTTAAAAAAGGATTAAAGTGATGAAACTAAAAGGATATTATTACCTTGCTATCATCAACTTCCAATGAATCTAACAATTGTTTCATATAGTAGAATTTACACACCACATCACCTTCTTCCTGAAGGGGAATAAGGAAGACACTTGAACAGTATTTTTTTTTCTTTGACTTTGTCAGAACATGTAAGTCATAATTAATCCATGCTTATAGGCATTGAGGGCTACCTTACAGGGTGATGCCTTATATCCATATAGCGCTTGGTAGTTTTCAGAAGCCTTTTATATATAGTGTTTAGTTTGGTCTTGTGACGATTCTGTATTATGTTTGACTGAATTTCACAGAGGTCTGCTTTTGGTTTCCAGGTCTGATAGAAGTCTGGATCATTCTGCTGGAGCAGCTCACAGCAGCTGTGTCTAACTGTCCACGTCAGCACCAACCCCCGACCTTGGATTTGCTCTTTGAGCTGTTGAGAGATGTTACCAAAACACCTGGTAAATATTTCTATGTCTGTCTTTCGAGGGAGTTTGTTATACATATAACTTTTCTCAGGAAGGTATTTGTATGAGTGTCTATTTCACTGATGTAACCGCAGAGAGCATAATAGATGCTCGATATATATATTTGTTGAACATTTAAGACATGTTCTTGTATTGTTTATGGGTTTCCCACCAGTCCATTTATAAGTAATGGGTGGTGGCCAGGTAGGTGAATGTGTAGAACCCCACTATATTCAGGCCAATGCTGTGGTATCAATGTCCCCTTGAGCCAGTTGGCTTTGCTCTGTTCTATGGTTACAGCCTTCCTCTGTGGCTGGGTCTCATATACTCCTGGCCCCAGGGCTGTCAGTAGAGCTTAACAGGTCTACCATTGACATGAACCAACCACTCAAATGTATGAAAACAGCAACATCTTAATTGTATAAGGGTCGTAGGTGATTATATTTGGGAAAAGACATCTATTGAGTTCCCGATAGTACAGGAAATGGCCTTTGGGAATTTATTTCTTGTTCTGAATTAGTCAAGGTTAGCATGCACACTTACTCATCAAATTTTCCCAAGATCGGAGAAATTTTTTATAGAAATTTTAGTTTTCACTAACAGAAACAGAACCACAAATGAAACCACTAGTTTAATTCTCGAGTAATAAGAGGAGTTTTGTATTCAGTATAAACTGATGAAGCCTTGATAAGCGATACTGTTTTAAGATCCATAGCAAAGTTTATATCAGAATTTGTTTCAGGAACACCATTATAGCTACTCCTACACATTAAAAATTTAAAGACTTTCTATCCAAGAATAAGCAGGTATCTTATAGAATTAATTATATGCCACTATTTCTAAATCTGTTTTATTGGTCAGTATCATTTTCTACTACTAAGCGTGTATGAAGAGCGTTTTAGCCCAATAATTCTACTCCTAGAAATCTATCAAAGGAAATTAACAGTAATGAAGATAACATTCTATATATAATGATGTTTGATGAAGCATCTTGAATACCAAAATAATTATGAACACCCTAAATGGGTTAAATAAGTTATGGTAAAAGCATGTAAATATCTACAGGCATTAAAATGAATATCTGTGAATAATATTTAATGACATCAATAATTGTTTACAGGGCATTATGTTAAAATATATATAGCGTGGAGTACAATCTCAACTTTATGAGAAGCATTTATAAATATACACATACACCCAAAGATAATACATTCAAAAAGTACTAGAACGAAATACATCAAAATATTATTTTCTTCTTCTTTATACTCTCATGTGTTTTCTGTGTTTATTATGAAAAGGATACCTTGCTTGTGTAGTCAGAATTTTAAAAATCCATCAACGTTTCCGCAAATATTTTTATTACAGTGTTGTTCATAAAGCAAAATATAGAAACATCTTAAATTTCCATCAGTAAGGAAATGGATAAGTAAACTAATGCATATACAGTTTGAATAGTTTGGAACAGTATGTGGTAATAAAAATGAGGAATATCTAATTTGCTGACACAGAATGATCTCTAACTTGTAACTGTTATGGGCAAGAAATCAACATGCAGACCCAGGTTTACCTTATCCCATTTATATAAAAGTAATTTAAAAAAACCTCTATTTCTCTGATTCTTATAAATATATGTACTCTTAGTTTCATATAAATATACATCGAGTTCAAAGGGTGAACTTTTTCTTATATGTGTATATGTATTTGTATGTTTATGGGGACTAAGGAATTGATCAAGTGATCCTTTAGCTTTATCAGTATTGTTTGAATTTTTAACGAGTATATTTACGTATTACGTAATTAAAATCATGCAGAAACAAAAAAGAAAAATGTCACCAAAGACCATATATTTCCCAATCAGTGGTAAATTCTTTTTCCTTGCTCCTTCTCAGAATGGGGAGCTCCTGCGAAAGAGGAAAGAGGTGGGAAGCTCTCTGCCGTCACTTGGCGCTGCCATTCTGTTGCAGGAGAGGTGCTAAGATCACAATTCTGATGCTGACCTTTCTTTTTCAGGACCAGGGTTTGGCATCTATGCAGTTGTTCACCTTCTCCTTCCTGTGATGTCCCTTTGGCTTCGCCGTAGCCATAAAGACCATTCTTACTGGGACGTGGCCTCTGCTAACTTCAAGCATGCCATCGGTCTGTCCTGTGAGCTGGTGGTGGAGCACATTCAGAGCTTCATCCACTCAGGTATCTATGGTGCCAGAGCAGCTCATGCTGAGTCGTTTAGTAGATAGCAGCATTGTCTAGAAGTGCTTAGTAAACACCAGTGCATGATTTTTGTCCTGGGAATTATTAAAATAGAATTACATGGTTAGTGCTGGGAATTATTAAAATAGAATTACATGGTTAGTGCCAGCCTTCTAATAGTAGGTTGTCAAGAAGAAAATTGGTACCCCTGTGTCCTCTACAAAATTATCAAACAGAATGCTTAAAATACATGTGTGACTAAAAATAAAACACCTAATGAGGTCTAGGATATCTGTGCATTAGGAGAGGGGAGGCAAGTTCAAGTATATAATAAATTAAAAAAGAATACCCCTCTAGGCTGGGGGGGTAAGGGAGAGAGTGTATCCTATTGTCCTGCTGCATCTGGGGAGGCTAAATGGAAGAGGCAGGGTTTTAGAAAAGGCTCAGATTATGGGCAAGAGGTTACTTAACAGATTAGGGGGGAAGAGGGGGGTCATATCTGTGGCACTTTGAAAAAGATTTGGAAGTGTGGGGTGGATAGTATGCTGAAGTCAGCAGACAGAGAGGGAGCTGTTATGTCAGCTGTGGTACCAGTGGAGCAGCATTTGTGAAATAGATACTTGCCAAGGAAAGGTCTGGAAATTTGGGAGCAGGAGGAATCTTGCTGCTAGCCCTAAAGGTTACAAAGAAAAGGGAAAGACATACAGAAGTTTAAGGGAAGAGGGGAGGTCAGAGGCTCCCTTGTTGGCGAGGTTAGAGAAACTCATGAGAACTTGACCCCAAGGAAGAGTCAAAAAGCAAAGATAAGAAATGGGGGTCTCCACTAAGCTTAGTAAGGACAATTTGCCCTGCAAAAAACACACCGATCGAGAAAGAAGAAAAATGGGTATTTCCACATGCAGGCACTAACTGCATCCCTAGTGGTAGAGTTTCTGTCCAGGTCCTGGCTTTGTACAGCTCAGGACCCTTGAGGATTCCACTGAGAATTGGTTCTGTGGCATCGCAAGGACTTTGTGGAAAAGAACACTGGCGTATTCCTTGAACTGGGCAAACAGAATGTGATTTGGGGAGGTCTTATTTTCTTTAGTCTGGGACAGCATGCAGACTGAAGCCAGACTGAAAAGGTTCAAGAAGTGGTAGTTGGTATGAGAAGATTTTTTGTTTACTAAGAGCATTTAACTCAATCTAATGCAACGATCAGCCGTAAGGAATGTGTGTTTTATCTTTCCCTTTAAGAATTAAAATTTTTTACTAGCTAGTATTCAGGCTGTATAATAGTATATGTTCTATTTTGCTTAAGCAGAGGAATTATATACTTTGAAAAGTGTACATCAACACATTAAAGTGAGCCACATGCATTTCATCTTGATATATCTAGAAATGGATGAAACAAGCTAAAATTAGGTAAAAACCAAGATAATTTTTGCTATAATGAGTGTTTTATTTTTGTTGTTATTGCTATGGCCATTTCTCTCATTGTTCTATTTCCCAGATCCTTGTATATTTTTGGTATCATTTAGCCTTTCCTCTTTTGCTGTAGTATAGATGCTGTCCAGCCCGTTCCTTTGCAATACCGCTGAGTGCAATCTTGCTTTGATTTTCCTGCAGACATCAGGTACGAGAGCATGCTCAACACCATGCTGAAGGACCTCTTTGAGTTGCTGGTGGCGTGTGTGGCCAAGCCCACAGAAACCATCTCCCGAGTGGGCTGCTCCTGTATTAGGTGACATAAAGGTTCCCTGGCTCTCCACGGAGTTTTTATTATGAAATCCAGGGGAATTAAATTCTTTGATGGTAGCAGTCTACTTCTTATAAAAATGACTGTGCTACTCTAACTCTTCATTTCATCCAGTCAGCATTTATTGTGTAAGTCACTATACAGGGTGCTCTGCTGCCCAGAAAGTGATGTGACCAAGGTCCCTACCCGCAGGGAGCATACAACCTGTTCTAAAGGACAAAGAGAGTCATGGGAAAAGTGATAATAGGAAGGAGGAACTATAAATGCCATGAAAGGACGAGACGCCTGGGGAGTAGAGCAGTCAGCAAGACCTTTTGTAGTATCTCCCAAGGTGGGCTAGGTGGCGACTTTGTAAGCAGAAGAACAACATGAACACAGACATGGAGATAAGAGTTACAAGTGACAAGAGGGTTTTATCTTGTTATGTGTAGAGGAGTAGTGGCAAATTGGGCTGGAATGGGGAAATTAGTATAGAATATATACATGCAAGCCTAAGTTGAAACATCGGCCTATTTGTAGTGGGGATCCATTGATTTTTTTTTTTTACATTAAATGGGTTAGGAAATAGGACAATGGCATACCAGATGGGCCGAAGGCGAGAGTGACAAAAGACAGCAAGACTTGTAAGGGAACTATAGACTAAATCTAGGCACGCGTCTGGAAGGACCTACCTACCTTTTGTGACAATAAAATGTATGAATTCAAGACTTCTTTCCTTTTTTCTCCTGGCAGGTACGTCCTCGTGACAGCGGGCCCCGTGTTCACGGAGGAGATGTGGAGGCTGGCTTGCTGTGCCCTGCAGGACGCCTTCTCGGCCACGCTCAAGCCGGTGAAGGTAAGTCACTCAGAGGAGAGACCAGGGCACCTCCAGCCTTCCTGGTGATCCTCAAGTTGGGTCGCCTGGACTCCGCCTCCCTCCTTGTAGCAGGCAGTCTCACTTGGTGGGAACAAGGTAGCTGGATCAGTACTTTGTCCCAGACACAGTGACAGTGGCAGATCAAAGACAAGGCCTGGAGCCATGAACTCAGGTGCACCCAGGGAACGACTGCTGTGTTTCTCCCCAGGATCTGCTGGGCTGCTTCCACAGCGGCACCGAGAGCTTCAGCGGGGAAGGCTGCCAGGTGAGGGTGGCGGCGCCGTCCTCCTCCCCCAGTGCTGAGGCCGAGTACTGGCGCATCCGAGCCATGGCTCAGCAGGTAAGGATGGGGTTTTGGATCCCAGGGTCTCCGGAAGCTTGAGCTATTGCTAGGGGTCGTTTCTGAAGGCCGTGCATCACCACACTGCCTTTCATTCCTTTAGGGACATAGGTGTCCTGGCTCTGAGCTCTAGCCAGTGCTGTTCTTTTCCAGAAATCACTTGAACCTAGTCAACAGCGTCATGGTCCTCTCACCATTTCTAGCTTGTTGCATCCTGCAATGCCCTGATCAAATAGGGTCCTTTTCCACCCGGCCGCTGCACTCCATACATAACTTGACTTGCACTACTTATGGTATAAATAGTTACTGAAATACTATTGTTAATGCTAGACTATGAGCGTCTAAAAATGGTAAACTTATTTTTTTTTCCTGTATCTCCCATACACAGCAAAGAGCTTAACATTTACAAGTTGTTTAATAAATTTGAGTTGAATGTTAACTAACCAGTAAAATTAAGATGTACTTACTTACCGTGCAGGAATCACCATGTACCAATGACTTTCTCTTCTGACACACGGCAGAAGTCACAAAAGTTGGTTGTAAGCTGATGAGTCAGGAGCAGAGAACATATTCTGTATATTGGTAGTCCTAGAGCAGGGTGGATGGAAGGCACTTACTAAATATTTCTTGAATCAATGAATCACTAAATTACAGAAGTCCTTAATAGAATTTCCCCTTAGCACACTGATAACCCAGGATTCCCTGTCCACAGAAAGAACTCAGTCACGTTCACCATATTAGTCGAGAAGTTTCCTGCCAGGTCTGGCTTCTGAAGCGCTTTCCCCCAGCTCTCCTCAGAGAGTGGGGCAAGAACCTCCCACCTTCAACTACTCACATCTGCTAAGCACATTCCTAACATCCCGGACACGGGCTCTGGGCAGGAACCATAACAGAGGAGGCAAGAGGGTGGTCCTCCTCTGAAGGGGTGGCCTCTCTAAGTAGAAACATTCACAGCTGACTAGATGAGGAATTTCCACCCACAGCAAGAATATGAAAATGGAATCCTGTTCTGAAAGAGTTAGTGGAGAAGAACGGCAGAAAACAGTTAGCGAATCTTTCATTTCTCCATATTACTTTCTTCTTCAGTCCCAAACCTTCTCCCATATTTACTCTTCAGATGATAACCCAGTATTCGATGATCTGATAAGTTAACAAGATTTGGAAAGAAAAAATTCCTTAAGAATACTCAGGTTTCCAAAGGGAAGTAGTGAAGGTAGATTAAATAATGTCAAATGAAATCATTTGGATCAGAATCCGAGAAGTGGCTACTGTTTTCTAAGTCACTTCTCCTATTGGCTGTTAATAGAGCAGCGTGGCCACAGCAGCAGCCTTGACAGGAGAAGCCCCAATTAGTTTCCTGTTCCTGCGTGGTTTAGAATATGTACCAAACGGACGTTTAAAGCAGAGAAGACCTCTTACAAACATAGCCGCTTTTTATTTACTCTTAACAACATTAAATGTCAGTCCTTGCTATTTGGAGTGTAATGACTTGTCCCGTGGCAGAAGCAGTAGTGTCATTACTATTCGTGCCAGCAGCTAACTTTTATTGAGTACTTACTCTTCTGTTCTAATGCTTTGCATATGTCAGTACACACATATTAATTCATTTAATTCTCTCAACAAACATACCAATAGGAAATCATTACCAACCTCATTTTAAAGGTGAAAAAATGAGTAGAAAGAGTGAGCCACTTGCCGAAGGCCATCCAGCTGAGCCCTGGCGGAGGCAGGTCGAGGATGGTGGCGCTCTGACCTGTACCTTTGTATACGTGTGCAGGTGTTTATGTTGGACACCCAGAGCTCCCCAAAGACTCCAAACAACTTTGATCATGCTCAGTCCTGTCAGCTCATTATTGAACTGCCTCCTGATGAGAAGCCAAATGGACACACCAAGAAAAGGTAAGCAGCTAAGCGCTTATAAATAGAAAAGTTCGTTTATCCCCAGCTCCTGCTCATTGTAATTCAGGCTTCAGCCAAGAATACTGAAAATGGTTGTGGAGTCACTTAGCAAAAACTTGCCAGCATTTTAACCAAATCTCCCACATTTCACATGTGTTCGCTGCCATAACAAAGTACACAGACTGGATGGCTTAAACAACAGGAAATTAATCTCTCCCAGTTCCAGAGCCCAGAAGTCCAAGATCAGGGTGTCAGCCATGTTGGATTCTTCTGAGGCCTCCCTCCTCGGCTTCTAGATGAACGTCCGTTCCCTGTGTCTTTGCATGGTCTTTCCTCTGTATATGTCTTTGTGCAAATTTCCTCCTCTTAGGAGGACACCAGTCATATTGGATTAAGGCCCATCCTAATGCCCTCGTTAACCCAATTATTTCTTTAAAGACCCTTTTTCCAGGTATGCATTCTGTGATACTATGGATTAGGACTTCTGTGTATGAATTTGCCAGGGGCGGGGCACAACTCACTGTATCTATAGCATCGTACATATCATAATCCTTTTTAAAAAATAATATGAGCTCTGATTCATATTGTTTCAGTGAGAAATACATCATTAACTTCTCATGAGCAGTACAGCTGTTAGGATCCAGAAAGCTCAGTGCATGCCACAGGAAACTTGCTCTTTCTAAATACTATCATCCTGCCAAAAAAACATTGTTCCTAGAGTTTAAGATGAAGCCAGTGACTGAAAGTTCCCATTTTAAAACTTCTGACACACTAATAATAATGATGATAAGTATTTGAGTTCAATAGATGAAGTACAGGGAGTAGGTAATCCACTTTCACTTGTGCCTGAGGAAACATTCAGGGAGACTGCGAAGCAGGGGAGCTGGAATCAAAACCAGGTCTAGCTGAGCACAATGCCTGTGTCCTTTACCATTTCCATGTTAGGGAGAGAGTGTGAATTTTCCAAAAGTTACCAGGTAGCATAGCAGTTTGATTAATAGACCTATTGGGGTGAAATTTCCAGGTGCTAACTTTTTTTAGTCAACTGTGTGTGGTACATACAGAAGACTATGTGGAAGGTTCAAAGGTTATCAAGCATGAATAAAAAGTGAACTAACTATGACCTGCCACTGCACTTCAGAAGTAGACCTTTACCGATATCCCACGTATTCCTCCCAGTTCTGTGCCCTGCTTCCCTCCACTGCCGATCACGCAAAAGTGTTGGGCATTTTTATCTATTCTGCATACCGATGACTGTGCATTCCTTTCCACAGCTTTAAGCGTTGATCTACTTTCAAATTTCAGTTCTTACCTGTTTTCCTTTTTTTTATATATTTCTAGTCCCTTCAGCCAATTATTCCTACTAAAACAATTTTTGAAGTAAAAGGAGAAAAAGGGGGAGAGGAATAATAAGCTGAATTCACATTATAAATAAAACAGGAAAAATAGGATCACCTAATATTCCTCTGTTACTGGTTTAACGGTTTTAAAAGGTTAAGATTTAAAAATTTATCACCATGGTTCCTCAGTTTACTTAGTGCTTTCAATAGACAATTACCCCCTCAATGAAATTCAGTAAAACAGGAAAAGCACACATTCTTTAGTAGAAGCCACTACGCCTTAAAACATCCTCTAAAATTCTTTAAGTATTTTGCGTTGTTGGATTTCACTCATTCACGGGGGCAATTCTTAGCACAGAAGGTAGGAGAAGATGAGTTAGACGTAAGAAAAGTTTGTGCATCTGCTGGTTAGGTGCGTCCTCAGAGGTCCACATTAAAATCACCCATGGGGAAAAAAAGACTGGAACTAAAACCAGATTGCAACATTTAAGTAAAGAGAAATCTGGGTTTGCTTGTTTGTTTTAACATCTTTATTGGAGTATAATTGCTTTACAATGGTGTGTTAGTTTCTGCTTTGTAACAAAGTGAATCAGCTATACGTATACATATGTTCCCATCTCTTCCCTCTTGCGTCTCCCTCCCTATCCCACCCCTCTAGGTGGTCACACACTGAGCTGATCTCCCTGTGTTATGCGGCTGCTTCCCACTAGCTATCTATTTTACCTTCTCCCTCCTCATATCCTAATGAAACTTAAAAGCTTTTGCACAGCAAAGGACACCATAAACAAGACCAAAAGGGAACCCTCAGAATGGGAGAAAATATTTGCAAATGAAGCAACTGACAAAGGATTAATCTCCAAACTTTACAAGCAGCTCATGCAGCTCAATATCAAAAAAACAAACAACCCAATCCAAAAATGGGCAGAAGACCTAAATAGACATCTCTCCAAAGAAGATATACAGACTGCCAACAAACACATGAAAGAATGCTCAACAACATTAGAGAAATGCAAATCAGAACTACAATGAGATATCATCTCACACCAGTCAGAATGGCCATCATCAAAAAATCTAGAAACAATAAATGCTGGAGAGGGTGTGGAGAAAAGGGAACCCTCTTGCACTGTTGGTGGGAATGTAAATTGATACAGCCACTATGGAGAACAGTATGGAGGTTCCTTAAAAAACTAAAAAATAGAACTACCATACGACCCAGCAATCCCACTACTAGGCATATACCCAGAGAAAACCATAATTCAAAAAGAGTCATGTACCACAGTGTTCACTGCAGTTCTATTTACAGTAGCCAGGACATGGAAGCAACCTTAGTGTCCATCACTTCTGAAGGTTGTGCTTCCTGCTTCAGGAGTCCAGGCTGCCAGCAGGATGGGGTTGAAGTGTCAGAGCCACTGCTCAAGGAGACCCTTTCTTCCAGGCACCTGCACTCGGAACTAATCTGTTTTTTGTTATTTTGGTTTGTTTTGAATGCTTCTCTCAGCATACGTTTGCCCTGGGACAAGAAGATGAGAAAGGCACTGCCCTGTCCCTTGAAGATTTATAGTATAGTGTGGAGGCCAGCCCAGTGATAAGTGACAGGATTTCCCTTCTTAGTTAGGGTCCTGTAGTTGTGGACATGAAGCACTAGACCAAATTGGTGGCTTTCACAGCCTGCTTCTTCAAAGGAGTGCATATTCAGGTCTCCTAATACCTCAAATAACTTCTATGGTGGGGGAATTAGGAGGGGTTGGGGAGTTACCATTTAATGGGTTCAGAGTTTCTGTTTGTGATGATGAAAAAGTTCTAGAAATAGATAGTAGTGATGGTTACACAACATTGTGCATGTACTTAATGCTACTGAATTGAACTTTTAAAAATGGTTAAAATGGTAACATCAGGTTATATATATTTTACCACAAGAAAGTTGCTTAAGTGATATGTTTGTTAGAAGGGGTTACTCTTTGTGAGTGACAGCTCTTTGTACATATTCCATTTTTGCCGAAAGTACGATGTTTTCTTTGAGATACCACTACACAAAGGTCAAGGTCAACCTTTAAAAAATGTATGGGAGGATTTTTGTTCTTTTTTGCTAGTTAAAAGTTTTTTCTCCTAGTTATAAAATAATTTTTAAATTCATGGTCTTAAAAAATGGTACAAATGAACTTATTTACAAAACAGAAATAGAATCACAGATGTAGAAAACAAACTAATGGTTACCAGGGGGGAAAGGGAGGGGGGAGAGAGAGATTGGGATTGACATATACACACTACTATATATAAAATAAATAACTAATAAGGACCTACTATATAGCACAGGGAACTCAATACTCTGTAATGGCCTATATGGG